GAAATAGCTGTAAATCTCCGTCTAAAACTCAAAACGAACGTATCCTTCAGACTGCTCTGCTGTGTGTTCGCTTACCTAAGGGAGTTGAATCTGCCTTGAGATTCAGAGAGTGACAAGCGCGTTTCTTCTAGGAGCTGCGTTTTGATATTCCAGAATGAATGGGAGTAAACGCTCTATTGAGAAATATCTGCTTCTAAAACCAAAACGGAGCTACCTAACAGAACGGTCTTCAATGTGTGCATTCAACTTACAGAGTTAAACTGATGTGTTTTTGCAGGAGTTTGTAAACCATTTCTGTGAAGAAGCGGAAAATGCAATTTCCCAGCCAAATCCAGGCCTTCAAGTAATAGCTGTACATCTTCGTCTAAAACACAAAACGAACGTATCTTTCAAACTGCTCTGCTGGGTGTTCGCTCAACTAAGGGAGTTGAATCCGCATTCAGAATCAGAGAGTGAGAAGCACGTTGCTTCTAGGAGCTGCGTTTGCACATACCACAGTGAATGGGAGTGAAAGCTGTATTGAGAAATATCTGCTTCTAAAACCAAAATGGAGCTACCTAACGGAACGGTCTTCAATGTGTGCATTCAACTTATAGAGTTAAAATGATGTGTGTTTGAGGGAGTTTGTAAACCCTTTCTGTGAGGAAGTGGAAAACACATTTTCCCAGCCAAATCCAGGCATTCAAGAAATAGCTGTGAATCTCCGTCTAAAACACAAAACAAACGTATCTTTCAAACTCCTCTGCTGGGTGTTCGCTCAACTAAGGGAGTTGAATCCGCGTTGAGATTCAGAGAGTGCGAAGCACGTTGCTTCTAGGAGCTGCGTTATAATATTCCAGAGTGAATGGGAATAAAAGCTGTATTGAGAAATCTCTGCTTCTAAAACCAAAACGGAGCTACCTAACAGGATGGTCTTTAAAGTGTCCATTCAACTTACAGAGTTAAACTGATGTGTGTTTGCAGGAGTTTGTAATCCCTTTCTGTGAAGAAGCCAAAAACGCATTTTCCCAGCCAAAACTAACCATTAAGAGATAGCTGTAAATCTCCGTCTAAAACACCAAACAAACGTATCTTTCAAACTGCTCTGCTGGGTGTTCGCTTAACTAAAAAAGTTGAATTCGCGTTCTGAATGAGAGAGTGACAAGCACGTTTATTCTAGCACCTGCATTTGGATATACCAGAGTGAATGGGAGTAAACGCTGTATTGAGAAATATCTGCTTCTAAAACCAAAAAGGAGCTATCTAACAGACCGGTCTTCAATGTGTGCATTCAACTTACAGAGTTAAACTGATGTGTGTTTGTAGGAGTTTCAAAACCCTTTCTGTGAAGAAGCGGAAAACGCAATTTCACAGCTAAATCCAGGAATTAAAGAAATAGCTGCTCATCTCCATATAAAACACAAAACGAACGTATCTTTCAAACTGCCCTCCTGGGTGTTCGCTCAACTAAGGGAATTGAATCCGCGTTCAGAATCAGACAGTGAGAAGCATGTTGTTTATAGGAGCTGCGTTTTGATATACCAGAGGAAATGGGAGTAAACGCTGTATTGAGAAATATCTGCTTCTAAAACCAAAACGGAGCTACGTAACAGAACGGTCTTCAATGTGTGCATTCAACTTACAGAGGTAAACTGATGTGTATTTGCAGAAGTTTGTAAACCGTTTCTGTGAAGAAGCTGATAACGCAAATTCCCAGCCAAAACCAGGCATTCAAAAAATAGATGTAAATCTTCGTCTAAAACACAAAACGAACATATCTTTCAAACTGCTCTGCTGGGAGTTCGCTCAACTAAGGGAGTTGAATCCGCATTCAGAATCAGAGAGTGAGAAGCACGTTGCTTCTAGGAGCTGCGTTTTGATATAACAGAGTAAATGGGAGTAAACCCTGTATTGAGAAATATCTGCTTCTAAAACCAAAACGGAGCTACCTAACAGAAAGGTCTTCAATGTGTGCATTTAACTTACAGAGTTAAACTGATGTGTGTTTGTAGGAGTTTCTAAACCCTTTCTGTGAAGAAGCGGAAAATGCAATTTCCCAGCTAAATCCAGGAATTCAAGAAATAAGTGTTAATCTCCGTATAAAACACAAAACGAACGTATCTTTCGAACTGCTCTGCTGGGTGTTCGCTCAACTAAGGGAGTTTTATCCGCGTTAAGAATCAGAGAGTGAGAAGCACGTTTCTTCTAGGAGCTGCGTTTTGATATACCAGAGTGAATGGAAGTAAATGCTGTATTGAGAAATGTCTGCTTCTAAAACCAAAACGGAGCTACCTAACGGAACGGTCTTCAATTTGCGCATTCAACTTACAGAGGTAAACTGATGTGTGTTTGCAGGAGTTTGTAAACACTTTCTGTGAAGAGGCGGAAAACGCATTTTCCCAGCAAAATCCAGGCATTCAAGAAATAGCTATAAATCTCCGTCTAGAACACAAAACGAACGTATTTTTCAAACTGCTCTGCTGGGTGTTCACTCAACTAAGGGAGTTGAATCCACGTTCAGAATCAGAGAGTGAGAAGCACCTTTTTCTAGGAGCTGCGTTTTGATAAACAATAGTGAATGGGAGTATACGCTGTATTGAGAAATATCACCTTCTAAAATGAAAACGGAGCTAACTAACAAAACGGCCTTCAATGTGTGCGTTCAACTGACAGAGTTAAACTGATGTGTGTTTGCAGGAGTTTGTAAACCCTTTCTGTGAAGAAGCGGAAAACGCATTTTTCCAGCAAAATCAAAGCATTTCAGAAAGAGCTGTAAATCTCCGTCTAAAACACAAAAGGAACGAATCTTTCAGACTGCTCTGCTGTGTGTTCACTTACCTAAAAAGGTGAATATGCCTGGAGATTCAGAAACAGAGAAACACGTTTCTTCTAGGAGCTGCATTTTGATATTCCAGAGTGAATGGGAGTAAAGGCTTTATTGAGAAATATCTGCTTCTAAAACCAAAACGGAGCAACCTAACAGAACGGGCTTTAATGTGTGACTTCAACTTACAAAGTTAAACTGATGTGTGTTTGCAGGAGTTTGTAAACCCTTTCTGTGAAGAAGCGGAAAACGCATTTTTCCAGCCAAATCCAAGCATTTCAGAAATAGCTGTAAAGCGCCTGTAAAACAGACAACGAATGTATCCTTCTGACTGCTCTACTGTGTATTCGCTTACCTAAGGGAGTTGAATCTGCCTTGAGATTCAGAGAGTGACAAGGGCGTTTCTTCTAGGAGCTGCGTTTTGATATTCCAGAGTGAATGGGAGTAAACGCTGTATTGAGAAATATCTGCTTCTAAAACCAAACCAAAGCAACCTAACAGAACGGCCTTCAATGTGTGCGTTCAACTCACAGAGATAAATTGATTTGTGTTTGCAGGAGTTTGTAAACCCTTTCTGTGAAGAAGCGGAAGACACAATATTCCACCAAATCCAAGCATTTCAGAAATAGCTGTAAATCACTGTCTAAAACTCAAAATGAATGTATCTTTCAGACTGCTCTGCTCTGTGTTCGCTTACCTAAGACAGTTGAATCTGCCTTAAGATTCAGAGAGTGAGAAGCGCGTTTCTTCGAGGAGCTGCGTTTTGATATTCCAAAGTGAACGGGAGTAAATTCTGAATTGAGAAATATCTGCTTCTAAAACCAAAATGGAGCAACCTAACAGGACGGCCTTCAATGTGTGCGTTCAACTTACAAAGTTAAGCTGATGTGTGTTTGCAGGAGTTTATAAACCCTTTCTGTAAAGAAGTGGAAAACGCATTATTCCAGCCAAATGCAAGCATTTCAGAAATAGTTGTAAATCACCATCTAAAACTGAAAACGAACATATCCTTCAGACTGCTCTGCTTTGGGTTCGCTTACCTAAGGGAATGGAATCTGCCTTGAGATTCAGAGAGTTAGAAGTGCGTTTCTTCTAGGAGCTGCGTTTTGATATTCCAGAGTGAATGGGAGTAAAGGCTGTATTGAGAAATATCTGCTTCTAAAACCAAAACGGAGCAACATAACAGAACGGCCTTCAATGTGTGCGTTCAACTTACAGAGTTAAACTGATGTGTGCTTGCAGGAGTTTGTAAACCCTTTCTGTGAAGAAGCGGAAAACACAAATTTCAAACCAATTCCCAGCATTTCATAAATAGCTGTAAATCTCCGTCTAAAACTCAAAACGAACAGAAGGTTGGCATGGCCAGTGTACAAGGATGACATGAAAAGGTGTGCAGCGTTTTGTATTTTTTTTTGGCATTGCAGCTGTTTTATAGAAATCAAATACAGATAGATTTGAGGTACATAAAAAAAAATTGTTTGCTGGACGTGGTGGTGTGGACACCTGCAACCCCAGGCCTTGGGAGGCTGCGGCAGGACAATCACTTAAACCAAGGAGGCAGATGTTGCAATAAGCCAGATTGAACCATTGCACTCCAGCATGGGTGACAAGAGAAAAACACGACATCATAAAGAAAGGCAGGGTGGGGGGGGAGTCACCCAGCTCCTTGTTTTTTGCAATTGTACACACTGGTCTGTCTGATTTCTTTTCTTTCTCTTTTTCTCTTTTTTTAAATAAGGTGGGTTTTCACCGGGATGCCCAGGCTGATCTTAAACACCTGACCTCTGGTGACCGACCCACCTCGGCCTCCAAAAGTGCTAGGATTGCTGGCATGAGTCACAGTGCCCAGCCCAGTCTCTCTGATTTATTTTTTAACAGTAAAGTCAGCCGGCCGGGCACGGTGGCTCAGGTGAGCCTGTCATCCAAGTGCTTTGAAGACCAAGGCAGGCGGATGACCCAAGGTTGTGGGTTCAAGACAAGCCCGACCAATGTGGTGAAACCCCTTCTTTAATATAAAAACAAAACTTGGGTTGGGCTCGTTCACTTACGCCTGTAATCCTAGCACTTTGGAAGACTGAGGTGAGCAGATTGTGAGGTCACAGGTTCGAGACTGGCCTTGAATAATGCAGCACAACCCACTCCCTATAATAAAACATAAAAATAGAAAAAAGTAAAAAAGCTGAGCCAGGCATGGCATGTGCTCACTTCGGCAGCACCTACACCAAAATTGGGATGATACACAGAAGGCCGGCATGGCCGCTGCACAATGATGACAAAGAAAGGTGTGCAGCATTCCATTTTTTTTTTTTGCCATTGCCGCTGTTTTGTACAAACCAAATACAGATAGATTTGAGGTACATAGAAAAAACAAAAAACGAAAAAACAGAAACTGAGCTGGACGTGGTGGTGTGGACACCTGCAACCCCAGCTCCTTGGGAGGCTGCAGCAGGACAATCACTTGAACCGAGGATGCAGATATTGTAATAAGTGAAGATTTCACCATGGCACTTAAGCCTGGGTGACAAGAGAAAAACAGTACATCATAAAAAAAGGTGGGGTGGGGCAAGGAGTCACCCGGCACCTCGTTTTTTACCATTGTACACACTGGTCTGTCTGATTTCTTTTCTTTTCTTTTTTCTTTTTCATTAAATGAGGTGGGTTTTCACCAGGATGCCCAGGCTGACTTCGAACTCATGACCTCAGGTGACCCACCCATTGCAGCCTCCCAAAGTGCTAGGATTGCTGGCATGAGTCACAGCACCCGGCCCAGTTTCTCTGATTTCTTTTTTAACAATAAAGTCAGCTGGCCAGGCACGGTGGCTCACATGAACCTGTCATCCAAGCGCTTTGAAGACCAATGCGGATGGATCACCCGAGGTTGTGGGTTCGAGACTGGCTCGACCAACATGGAGAAACGCCATCTTAAAATGAGAACAAAGGTTGGGTTAAGCTTGGCGGCTCACGCCTGTAATCCCAGCACTTTGGAAGGCCTAGGTGAGGGGATTGTGAGGTCATAGGCTCAAGACTGGCCTTGAATGACAGCACAATCCACTCTGTATAAAAAACATAAAAACAGAAAAAAAAAGCTGAACCGGATATGGCACATACTCACTTCAGCAGCACCTACACTAAAATTGGGATGATACACAGAAGGCTGGCATGGCTACTGGCAAGGATGACATGCAAAGGTGTGCAGCATTGCCTATTTTTTTTTTTTGCTGTTGTGGATGTTTTGTATGAATCAAATATAGATAGATTTGAGGTACAAAAAAAAAAAACAAAAAAAACAAAGATAGCTGGACGTGGTGGTGTGGACACCTGCAACCTCAGCTTTTTGGGAGGCTGTGATAGGACAATTGCTTTAACTGAGGAGGCAGATGTTGCAATAAGCCAAGACCACACCATTGCACTCCAGCCTGGGTGACAAGAGGGGAGCACTTCGTCATAAAAAAAGGTGGGGTGGGGGATGGAATCATGCAGCATGTTGTTTTTTGCAATTGTACACACTGGTCTGTCTGATTTCTTTTTTTTTTTAAATGATGTGGTTTTCACCGTGATGCCCAGGCTGACCTGGAACTCATGATCTCAGGTGACCCGAACACCTCGGCCTCCCAAAGTGCTAGGATTGCTGTCGTGAGTCACAGTGCCCTGCGAGTCTCTCTGATTTCTTTTTTCAAAATAAAGTTGACTGGCTGGGCACGGTGGCGAGCGGATTGTGAGGTCACAGGTTTGACACTGGCCTTGAAACACAGTGCAATCCACTCCGTATAAACAAACATATAAGCAGAAAAAAATATAAAACCTGAGCTGCGCATGGCATGTGCTCGCTTCAGCAGCACCTACTAAAATAGGGACAATACACAGAAGGTGGGCGTGGCCGCCACACAAGAACGACAAGCAAAGGTGTTCTGTAATTATTTATTTATTTATTTATTTTGCCATTGTGACTGTTTTATGGAATTCCAATACAGATAGATTTGAGGTACAAAAAACAATTAACTGGACACGGTGGTGTGGACATCTGCAACCCCAGCTATTGGGGGCTGTGGCAGGACAATCGCTAGAACTAAGGAGGCACATGTTGCAATAAGCCAAGATCCCACCTTTGCACTCCAGCCTGGGTGACAAGAGGGGAACACTATGTCATAAAGAAAGGCGGGGACGGAAGCAGAGTCATCCGCCACCTCGTTTTTTACATTTGTACACACTGATCTATATGATTTCTTTTCTTTTTTTTGTTCTCTTTATAAAAATAAAGTCAGCCGGCCAAGCACGGGGACTCAAATGAGCCTGTAATCCAAGCGCTTTGAAGACCAAGGTGGGTGGATCACCCAAGGTTGCGCGTTTGAGACCTGCCTGACCAAAATGGTGAAACCCAGTCTTTAAAATGAAAACACAACTTAGGTTAAGCTCGTGACTCACGCCCTGAATGTTAGCACTTTGGAAGGCCGAGGCTAGCGAATGGTGAGGTCACAGGTTTGATACTGTCCTTGAATGACACAGCACAACCCACTCCCTATAAAAAACATAAAAGCAAAAAAATAAAAAATAAAAAAGCTGAGCCGGACAACATGCAAACGTATTTAGTGTTCCATATTTTTTTTATTTGCCATTGTGTCTGTTTTGTAGAAATCAAATACAGATAGGTTTGAGTTACAAGAAAAAAAATTTAACTGGACATGGTGGTGTGGACACCTGCAACCCCAGATATTTGGGGGGCTTCAGCAGGACAATCGCTTGAACTGAGGAGCCACATGTTGCAATAAGCCAAGATCCCACCATTGCACTCCAGTCTGGGTGACAAGAGGAAAACACTACATTATAAAGAAAGGTGGGGCCGGTGGTGGAGTCATCCGGCACCTCGTTTTTTACAATTGTAAACACTGATCTCTCTGATTTGTTTTCTTTTTGTTTTTCTATTTTTTTAAAGGAGGTTGGGTTTCACTGGGATGCCCAGGCTGATGTTGTACCTGTGATCTCAGGTGACCCTCCCACCTCGGCCTCCCAAAGTGCTAGGATTGCTGGCATGAGTCACAGTGTTCAGACCAGTCTCTTTTATTTTTTAACAATAAAGTTGGTCGGCCAGGCATGGGGGTTCACGTGAGCCTGTCATCCAAGCACTTTGAAAACCTAGGCAGGCGGATTACCCGACGTGGTGTGTTTGAGACTGGCCTGACCAAAATGGTGAAACCCCATCTTCAAAACAAAAACACAACTTAGGTTGGGATCCATGGCTCACGTCTAATCCTAGCTCTTTGGAAGGCCGGAAGAGGATTGTGAGGTCACACGTTCGAGGCTGGCCTTGAAAGACACAGCACAACCCGCTCCATATAAAAAAAACATAAAACCAGAAAAAAATAGAACAGCTGAGCCGGGCATGGCATGTGCTCACTTCGGCAGCACTTACACTAAAATAGGAATGATACACAGAAGGCGGGTGTGACCGCTGTGCAAGAATGACACACAAAGATGTGCAGTGTTCCATAAATATTTATTTTTTATTTTTTTGCCACTGTGACTATTTTGTAGAATTCAAATACAGACAGATTTGAGGTACAAAAAAAAATTAACTGGACATGGTGGTGTGGACACCCACAACCCCAGCTACTTGGGGGGGCTGCAGCAGGACAATCACTTGAACCGAGGAGGCACATGTTGCAATAAGCTAAGGTCCCACCGTTGCACGCCAGCCTGGGTGACAAGAGGGAAACACTACGTCATTAAGTAAGGCGGGGCCAGGGGTGGAGTCATCTGGCACCTCAGTTTTTACAATGTACACACTTATCTTTTTGATTTCTTTTCTTTTTCATATTCTCTTTTTTTAAAGGAGGTGGGTTTTCACCAGGATGCCCAGGGTGACCTCAAACTTGTGACCTCAGGTGACCTGCCAACCTCGGCCTCCCAAAGTGCTAGGATTGCTGACATGAATCACAGTGCTTGACCCAGTATCTCTGATTTCCTTCTTTACAATGAAGTCAGCCAGCCGGGCATGAGGGTTATGTGAGCCTGTCATTGGAGTGCTTTGAAGAGCAAGGCAGGGGGATCACCCGAGGTTGTGGGTCAAGACCAGCCGACTAACACTGTGAAACCCCATCTTAAAAATGAAAACAAAACTTGGGTTGGGCTCGGTGGCTCACGCCTGTAATCCCAGCCCTTTGGAAGGTGGAGGTGATCGGATCCTGAGGTCACAGGTTGGAGACAGGCCTTGAACAACGCAGTGCAACCCACTCCCTATAAAAAACATAAAAACAGAAATAAATTAAAAAGCTGAGCCAGGCATGGCATGTGCTTGCTTCGGCAGCACCTACACCAAAATTGGTAGGTAAGATACACAGAAGGCCAGCGTGGCCATCGTGCAAAGGACATGCAAAGGTGCACAGCGTTCCATATATATTTTTTTGACTTTGGGGCTGTTTTGTAGAATCAAATACAGATAGATTTGAGGTACAAAAAAAAAAAAAAAAAAAACCAGAAAGTTAGCTGGACATGGTGGTGTGGAGATCTGCAATCCCAGCTCCTTGGGAGGCTGCGGCAGGACAATCGCTTGAACCGAGGAGGCAGATGTTGCAATAAGCTAAGGTCCCACCGTTGCACTCCAGCCTGGGTGACAAGATGGAAACACTACGTCGCAAAGAAATGTGGAGCGAGGGGTGGAGTCATTTTGCTCCTCGTTTTTTTATCTTTTCCTTTTCTTTTTTTTAAAATAAGGTGGGTTTCACCAGAATGCCCAGGCTGACCTCAAACTTGTAACCTCAGGTGACCACCTCGGCCTCCCAATGTGGTAGGATTGCTGGCGTGAGTCACAGCACCCGGCCCAGTCTCTCAGATTTCTTTTTTACAATAAAGTTGACTGGCTGGGCATGGTAGCTCACTTGAGCCTGTCATCCAAGTGCTTTGAAGACCAAGGCGGGCGGATGGCCTGAGGTTGCAAGTTCAAGACCGGCCTGACTGACGTGGTGAAACCCCATCTTTTAAATGAAAACAAAACTTGGGTTGGGCTCGGGGGCTCATGCCTGTAATCCCAGCACTTTGAAAGGTGGAGGCGAGTGGACCATGAGGTCACAGGTAATAGACTGGCTTTGAATGACACAGCGCAACCCGCTCCATATAAAAAACAGAAATGCAGAAAAAAATAAAAAAGCCAAGCCAGGAATGGCATGTGCTCACTTTGGCAGCACCTACACTAAAATTGGGAGGATACACAGAAGGCAGGCATGGCCGCTGTGCAAGGACGACACACAAAGGTGTGCAGCTTTCCATATTTTTTTTTCCATTGTGGCTGTTTTGTAGAAATCAAATACAGATAGATTTGAGGTACAAAAAAAAGTTTGGCTGGACATGGTGGTTTGGACAACTGCAACCCCAGCTACTTGGGGGTCTGCGAGAGGACAATTGGTTGAACCGAGAAAGCAGATGTTGCAATAAGCCAAGATTGCTAACCCCGTCTTCAAAACAAAAACACAGCTTAGTTTGGGCATGGTGGCTCACGCCTGTAATCCTAGCATTCCAGCCTTGGTGACAAGAGGAAAACACTGCATCATATAGAAAGGCGGGGCAGGGTGTGGAGTCATTCAGCACCTAGTTTTTTACAACTGTACACACTGGTCTGTCTGATTTTTTTTCTTTTTCTTTTAAATGTGATGGGTTTTCACCAGGATGCCCAGGCTGACCTCGAACTCATTATGTCAGGTGGCCTTCCCCTGGCCTCCCAAAGTGCTAGGATTGATGGCTTGAGTCACAGCACTGGGCCCAGTCTCTCTGATTTCTTTTTTAACAATGAAGTCTGCCAGACAGGGCTGGGGGTTCATGTGAGCCTGTCATCCAAGCGCTTTGAAAACCAAGGCATGCGGATCACCCGAAGTTGCGTGTTTGAGACTGGCCAGACCAAAACAGTGAAACCCCGTCTTTAAAACAAAAACACAACTTAGTTTGGGCTCGGTGGCTCACGCCTGTAATCCTAGCACTTTGGATGGCCAAGGCGAGCTGATTGTGAGGTCACAGTTTCAAGACTGGCCTTGAAAGACACAGCACAACCCACTCCCTATAAAAAACCTAAAGGCAGAAAAAAATAAAAAAGCTGAGTCGGGCAAGGCATGTGCTCGCTTTGGCCGCACCTACACTAAAATTGGGATGATACACAGAAGGCTGGCGTAGCCATTGCACAAGGACAACACACAAAGGTGTGCAGCATTCCATTTTATTTATTTATTTATTATTGTGGCTGTTGTGTAGAAATCAAATACAGATAAATTTGAGGTGCAAAAAAAGTTTAGCTGGACGTGGTCATGTGGACGTGGTCGTGTGTCACCTGACACCCCAGCTACTTGGGGGGCTGTGGCAGGACAATCACTTGAACCAAGGAGGCACATGTTGCAATAAGACAAGATTGGACCATTGCACCGCACCCTGGGTGACAATAGGGAGACTACATCATAAAAAAAGGTGGGGTGGGGGTGTGGAGTCACCTGGTGCCTCATTTTTTACAGTTGTACACACTGGTCTGTCTGATTTCTTTCCTTTTCTTTTTTCTCTTTTTTAAAATGAGGTGGGTTTTCACTGGAATGCCCAGGCTGACCTCGAACTCGTGACCTCAGTTGAACCGTGCACCTTGGCCTCCCAAAGTGCTAGGATTTCTGGCGTGAATCACAGTACCCAGCCCAGTCTCTCTGATTTCTTTTTAACAATAAAGTTGGCCAGCCAGGCACGGTGGCTTCCGTGAGCCTGTCATGAAAGCGCTTTGAAGACCAAGGCAGGCGGATCACCTGAGGTTGTGGTTTCTAGACCGGCCCGACCAACGCAGTGAAACCCTGTCTTTAAAATAGAAACAAAGCTTGGGTTGGGCTCAGTGGCTCATGCCTGTAATCCCAGCACTTTTGAAGGCTGAGGCGAGCAGATCGTGAGGTCACAGGTTTGAGACTGGCCTTGAACGACACAGTGTAACCCGCTCCCTATAAAAAACATAAAAGCAGAAAAAATAAAAAAGCTGAGCCGGGCACAGCATGTGCTCTGTTTGGCAGCACCTACACTAAAATTGAAACGATACACAGAAAGTGGGCCTGTCTGCTGTGCAAGGATGACACGCAAAGGTGTGCAGCATTCTGTTTTTGTTTTTTGTTGTTGTTGTTGTTGTTGTGGCTCTTTTGTAGAAATCAAATACAGATAGATTTGAGGTACAAAATAAAAGTTAGCTGGACGTAGTGATGTGGACATTTTCAACCAAGCTACTTGGGGGGCTGTGGCAGTAGAATCGCTTGAACTGATAAGGCACATGGTGCAATAAGACAAGACCCCACCATTGCACCGCAGCGTGAGTGACAAGAGGGAAACACTATGTCATAAAGAAAGGTGGGGCCTGGGATGGAGTCATCTGGCACCTCGTTTTTTACAATTGTACACACTGATCTGTCTGATTTATTTTTTCTTACTTTTTCTATTTTTTTAAAGGAGGTGGGTTTCCACCGAAATACCCAGGCTGACCTCAAGGCCGTGACGTCAGGTGACAGCCCACCTCAGCCTCCTAAAGTGCTAGGATTGCTGCCGTGAGTCACAGCACCCAGCCCAGTCTCTCTAATTTTCTTTTTAACAATAAAGGTGGCTGGCCAGGTATTGGGGCTCACACGAGCCTGTCATCCAAGGTGGGTGGATCACCTGAGGCTGCCGGTAAGAGACTGGCCCTCCCAACATGGTGGTACCCTGTCTTTAAAACAAAAACACAACTTAGGTTGAACTCCACGGCTCAGGGCTGTAATCTCAGCACTTTGGAAGGTGGAAGCAAGCAGATTGTGAGGTCACAGGTTCCAGACTGGGCTTGAACAACACAGCACAACCTGCTCCCTATACAAAACATAAAAGCATAAACAATAAGAAAGCTGAGCCGGGTATGGCATTTGCTTGCTTCGGCAGCACCTACACTAAAATTGGGAAGATACTCAAAAGGCGGGAGTGTCCGACGCACAAGAAGGACATGCAAAAATCTGCAGCGTTTTGCATTTTTTCTTTTATTTTGCAGTTGTGGCTGTTTTGTAGAAATCAAATACAGATAAATTTGAGGTACAAAAAAAAAGAAAAGTTAGCTGAACGTGGTGGTGTGGACACCTGCAACCCCAGCTATTTGTGGTGCTGTGGCAGGACAATCGCTTGAACTGAGGAGGCCCAAGTTGCAATAAGCCAAGATCCCACCCTTGCACTCCACCCTGGGTGACAAGAGGGAAACACTACATCATAAAGAAAGGCGGGGCCAGGGGTGGAGTAATCCAGCACCTCGTTTTTTACAATTGTACACACTGATCTCTCTGATTTCTTTTTCTCTTTTTTTTGCCAGGATGCCCTGGCTGACCTCAAACCCATGACCTCAGGTGACCCACCCACCTCGGCCTCCCAAAGTGCTAGGATTGCTGGCATGAGTCACAGTGCCCAGCCCAGTCTCTCTGATTTTTTTTTTAGCAATAGAATCGGCTGGCTGGGCACTAAGGCTCATGTGAACCTGTCATCCAAACACTTTGAAGACCAAGGCAGGTGGATCACCCGAGGTTCGAGACCTTCCCGACCAACACAGTAAAACTCCATCTTTAAAACAAAAAGACAACTTAGGTTGAGCTTGGTGGCTGACATCTGTAATCCTAGCATTTTGGAAGGCCGAGGCGATCAGATCGAGAGGTCACAGGCTTAGAGATAGGCCTTGAACGACACAGCACAAATCGCTTTCTATGAAAAACATAAAAGCAGAAAAAAATTAAAAAGCTGAGCTGAGCATGGCATTTGCTCGCTTTGGCAGCACCTACGCTAAAATTGGGATGAAACACAGAAGGCAAGCCTGGCCGCCGTGCAAGAACAACAAAGGTGTGCAGCGTTCCGTATTTTTTTTTTATTTGCTATTGTGGTTGTTTTGTAGAAATCAAATACAGATAGATTTGAGGTACAAAAAAGGAAAATTTAGCTAGACATGCTGGTGTGGACACCTGCAACCCTAACTACTTCAGGGGCTGTGGCAGGACAATCGCTTGAACTGAGGAGGCACATGTTGCAATAAGCCAAGATCTCGCCGTTGCACTCCAGCTTGGGTTACAAGGGGAAAACACTACGTCATAAAGAAAGGCGGGGCCGGTGTGGAGTCATCTGGCACCTCGTTTTTTACAATTGTACACAGTGATCTGTCTGATTTCTTTTCTTTTTCTTTTCTCTTTTATTTTTTTTTTTATAGGAGGTGGGTTTTCACCGAGATGCCCAGGGTGACCTCGAACACGTGACCTTATGTGACCCGTCCACCTCGGCCTCCCAAAGTGCTAGGATTGCTGGCATGAGTCACAGCACCCAGCTTAGTCTCTCTGATTTCTTTTTTAACAATGAAGTCCGCCGGCCGGGCACTCATCCAAGAGTTTTGAAGACCAAGGCGGGTGGATCACCCGAGTTTGTGGCTTCGAGACTGGCCCGACCAACACGGTGAAACCCCGTCTTTAAAACAAAAACACAACTTAGGATAGGCTTGGGGGCTCACACCTGTAATTCTAGCACTTTGGAAGGCCGAGGCGAGCAGATGGTGAGGTCACAGGTTCGAGACTGGCCTTGAACGACACATTTCAACCCGATCACTATATAAAACATAAAAGCAGAAAAAAATAAAAATGCTGAGCCGGGCAGGGCCTGTGCTCTCTTAGGCAGCACCTACACTAAAATTGGGACGATACATAGAAGGTGGGCATGGCCTCTACAGAAGTACGACACAAAACGGTGTGCAGTGTTTCGTTTTTTTTTTCTCCATTGTGGCTGTTTTGCAGAAATCAAGCACAGATAGATTTGAGGTACAAAAAAAAATTAGCTGGACGTGATGTTGTGGACACCTGCAACTCCAGCTCCTTGGGATGCTGCGGCAGGACAATCGCTTGAACTGAGGAGGCACATGTTGCAATAAGCCATGATCCCACCTTTGCACCACAGCCTGGGTGATAGGAGGGAAACACTACGTCATAAAGAAAGTCAGGGCTAGGGGTGGAGTTATCCAGCATCTCGTTTTTTACAATGGTCGACACTGATCTGTTTGATTTCTTTTCTTTTTCTGTTTCTCTTTTTTTATAGGAGGTGGGTTTTCACCGGGATGCCCAGGCTGACCTCAAACCAGTGACTTCAGGTGACCCGCTCACCTTGGCCTCCAAAAGTGCTAGGATTGCTGGCGTGAGTCATAGCACCCAGCCCGTTCTCTCTGATTTCTTTTTTAACAATAAATTCAGCCAGCCGACCACTGGGGCTCACGTGAACTTGTCATACAAGCACTTTGAAGACCAAGGCAAGCAGATCACCCGAGGTTGCGGGTTCGAGATTGGCCTGAACAACACGGTGAAACCCCGTCTTTAAAACAAAAAAAAAAAACTTAGGTTGGGCTTTGCAGCTCATGCCTGTAATCCTAGCACATTGGAAGGCTGAGTTGAGCAGACTGTGAAGTCATGGGTTGGAGACTTGCCTTGAAGCATGCAGTGCAGCCCGCTCCGTATAAAAAACATAAAAGCAGAAAAAAATAAAAAAGCTAAGCCAGGCATGGGATATGCTCATTTTGGCAGCACCTACACTAAAATGGGGAAGATACACAGAAGATGGGCATGGCCACCATGCAATGATGACATGCAAAGGTGTGCAGTGTTCAATATTTTTTTTCATTGTGTCTGTTTTGTAGAAATCAAATACAGATAGATTTGAAGTACCAAAAAAAAAAAGTTAGCTGGTGGTGTGGACAACTGCAACCCCAACTACTTGGGAGGCTGTGGCAGGACAATCCCTTGAACTGAGGAGGCAAATGTTGCAATAAGCCACAATCCCACTGGTGCACTCCAGCTTGGGTGACGAGAGGGAAACACTGCATCATAAAAAAGTGGGGCTGGGGGTGAAGTCATCTGGCACCTTGTTTCTTACAATTGTACACACTGATCTTTCTGATTTCTTTTTTCTTTTTCTCTTTTTTAAAAAACGTGGGTTTTCACCAGGATGCCCAGGCTGACCTCTAACCGGTGACCTTAGGTGATCCATCCACCTAGGCCTCCCAAAGTGCTGGGATTGCTGGCATGCCTCACAGCGCCTACAAATTCTCTCAGATTTTTTTTTTAACAATAAAGTCCACCGGCCAGGAACTCATCCAAGGGCTTTGAAGACCAAGGCGAGCAGATCTCCGGAGGTTGCAGGTTAGAGACTGGTCCGACCAACACGGTGAAACCCCATCTTTAAAACAAAAACACAACTTAGGTTGGGCTCGGTGGCTCACGCCTGTAATCCTAGCACTTCAGAAGGCCAAGGTGAGTGGATCGTGAGGTCACAGGTTTGAGACAAGTGTTGAACAACAAAGTACAACCTGCAGCCTATAATAAACATAAAAGCAGAAAAAAATTAAAAAGCTGAGCTGGGCCTGGCCTGTGCTCACTTAGGCAGCACCTACACTAAAATTGGGACCATGCACAAAAGGTGGGCATGGCTGCCGCAAAACGACGACACTCAAAGGTGTGCAGCATTCTGTATTTTTTTTTCATTGTGGCTGTTTTGTAAAAATCAAATAAAGACAGATTTGAGGTACAAAAAAAAATTAGCTGGATGTGGTGGTGTGGACACCTGCAACCCCAGTAACTTAAGGGGCTGCAGCAGGACAATCGCTTAAACTGAGAAGGCACATGTTGCAATAAGCCAAAATCCCACCATTGCACAGCAGCCTGGGTGACAAGAGGGAAACACTACGTCATGAAGAAAGTCGGGGCTAGGGGTGGAGTTATCCGGCACCTCAGTTTTTACAATTGTACACACTGATCTGTTTGATTTCTTTTCTTTTTCTTTTTCTCTTTTTTTAAAGGAGGTGGGTTTTCACCAGGATGCCCAGGCTAACCTTGAACCTGTAACCTTAGGTGACCCACTCACCTCGGCCTCCAAAAGTGCTAGAATTGCCGGTGTGTGTCATAGTGCCCGGCCCATTCTCTCTGATTTCTTTTTTAACAGTAAATTCCGCCGGCCGGCCACAGGGGCTCACGTGAGCCTGTCATCCAAGCACTTTGAAGACAAAGGTGGGTGATCAACCGAAGTTGCAGGTTCAAGATTGGCCTGAACAACACGGTGAAGCCCCGTCTTTAAAACAAAAAAAAACGTTGGTTGGGCTCCGTGGCTCACGCCTGTAATTCTAGCACTTTGGAAGGCCAAGGCGATCAGATCGTGAGGTTATGGGTTCGAGACTGGCCTTGAAAGACACAATGCAACCCACTCCCTATAAAAAACATAAAAGCAGATAAAAATAAAAAAGCTTAGCTGGGCATGGCATGTGTTCACTTCGGCAGCACCTACACTAAAATTGAGAAGATACACGGAAGGCGGGCATGGCCACCAGGCAAGGACAACACACAAAGGTGTGCAGCATTCAATATTTTTTTTTCTACTGTGGCTGTTTTGTAGAAATCAAATACAGATAGATTTGAGGTACAAAAAGAAGAAAATTAGCTGTACGTGGTGATGTGGCCACCTGCAACCCCAGCTACTTGGGGGGCTGTGGCAGTAGAATCGCTTGAACTGAGGAGGCATATGTTGAAATAAGCCAAGATCCCACCGGTGCACTCCAGCCTCGGTGACAAGAGGAAAACACTTCGTCATAAAGAAAGGCATGGCCAGGAGGTGGAGTCAGCTGGCACCTCGTTTTTTACAATTGTACACACTGATTTGTCTGATTTCTTTTCTTTTTCTTTTTCTCTTTTTTAAAGAAAGTGGGTTTCCACCAAAATGGCCAGGCTGACCTCGAACCTGTGACCTTATGTGACCCACCCACCTCGGCCTCCCAAAGCACTAGGAGTGCTGGCGTGAGTCACAGTGCCCGGCCAAGTCTCTCTGATTTCTTTTTTAACAATAAAAGCTGGCTGGGCACGGGGGCTCACATGAGCCTGTGATCCAAGCACTTTGAAGACCAAAGCAGGCGGATCACCCAAGGTTGTGGGTTTGAGACCTTCTCAACCAACACGGTGAAACCTTGTCTTTAAAACCAAAACACAACTTAGGTTGGGCTTGGCGGCTCATGCCTGTAATCCAGCACTTTGGAAGGCTGAGGCAAGCAGATCGTGAGGTCACAGGTTCGAGACTGGCCTTGATCGACACAGCGCAACCCGATCCCTATAAAAAACATAAAAGCAGAAAAAAATAAAACAGCTGAGCCGGGCATGGCATGTGCTCGCTTCAGCAGCACACACTAAAATTGGGACGATACACAGAAGGCAGGCGAGGCCGCCACACAAGGACGACATGCAAAGGTGTGCAGTGTTCTGTATTTTTTGTTTTTTTCCATTGTGACTGTTTTGTAGAAATCAAATACAGATAGATTTGAGGTATAAAAAAAAATTAGCTGGATGTGGTGGTGTGGACACCTGCAACCCCAGTTACCTGGGGGGCTGCGGCAAGACGATTGCATGAACCGAGGAGGCACATGTTGCCATAAGCCAAGATCCCATTGTCGCACTCCAGCCTGCATGACAAGAGGGAAATACCACATCATAAAGAAAGACTGGGCTGGGAGTAGAGTCATCTGGCACCTCGTTTTTTACAATTGTTCACACTGATCTGTCTTATTGCTTTTTTTTCTCTTTTTTAAAATGAGGTGGGTTTTTCCTGGGATGCCCAGGCTGACCTCGAACCCGTGACCTCAGGTGACCTGCCCACCTCAGCCTCCCAATGTGCTTGGATTGCTGGCATGAGTCACAGTGCCCGGCCCAGTCTCTTTGATTTCTCTTCTAACAATAAAGTCAGCCAGACGGGCACAGTGGGTCATGTGAGCCTGTCATCCAAGCACTTTGAAGACAGATCACCCAAGGTTGCGGGTTCGAGACTGGCTCGACCAACATGTGAAACCACATCTTAAAAACAAAAACAAAACTTAGGTTGGGCTCAGCGGCTCACACCTGTAATCCTAGTACTTTAGAAGGCTGAGGCGAGCGGATCTTAAGGTCACAGGTTCAAGACCGGCCTCGAACAACACAGCTCAACCCACTCCCTATAAAAAACATAACAGAAAACAATTAAAAAGCTGACCCGGGCATGGCATGTGCTCGCTCTTGCAGCACCTACACTAAAATTTAAATGATACACAGAAGGCCGGCGTGGCCACCGTGCAACCATGACACACCATGGTGTGCAGCATTCTGTTATTATTATTATTATTTCCATTGTGGCTGTTTGGTAGAAATCAAATACAGATAGATTTGAGATATAGAAAATAAAATAAAATAATATAAAAAATAACAGAAGGTTAGCTGGTGGTGGTTTTGTGGACACCTGCAACCCCTGCTCCTTGAAAGGCTGTGGCAGGACAATCGCTTGAACTGAGGAGACAGATGTTGTAATAAGCCAAGATCACACCACTGCACTCCAGCCTGGGTGAAAAGAGGAAAATGCTACGTCATACAGAAAGGTGGGGTGGAGGGTGGAGTCATCCGGCACCTCATTTTTTACAATTGTACACACTGGTCTGTCTGATTTCTTTTCTTTTTCTTTTTCTCTTTTTTAAATGAGGTGGGTTTTCACCGAGGTTCCCAGGCTGACCTCGAACTCGTGACTTCAGGTTACCCGCCCACCTCGGCCTACCAAATTGCTAGGAATTCTGGCATGAGTCACAATGCCCCGGACATTCTCTCAGATTTATTTTTTAACAATAAAGTCGGCCGGCTGGGCAAGGTGACTCACGTGAGCCTGTCATCCAAGCACTTTGAAAACTAAGGCGGGCGGATCACCCGATGTTGCGGGTCCGAGCCTGGCCCGAACAACATGGTAAAATCCCGTCTTTAAAATGAAAACAAAACTTAGTTGGGCTCAGTGGCTCACGCCTGTAATCCCAGCACTTTGGAAAACCAAGGCAAGCAAATCGTGAGGTCACAGGTTCGAGACTAGCCTTGAACGACACAGTGCAACCCGCTACCTATGAAAAACATAAAAACATAAAAAAATAAAAAAGCTGAACCTGGCATGGCATGTGCCCACTTCGGCAGCAGCTACATTAAAATTGGGATGATACACAGAAGGCCGGCATGGCCCCCGCACAAGGATGACATGCAAAGGTGTGAAGCGTTCTGTATTTCTTTTTGCCATTATGGCTGTTTTGTAGGTATCAAATACAGACATATTTGATTCTACAAAAAAGCGTGCTTCCAACCTGCTGAATAAAAACGAGCTATCACCTCTGTGAACTTAATCCACACATTGCAAAGCATTTTTCCAGATCGTTTGTTTCTATTTTGTATCACGGGATATTCTGTTTTTCGTGGTAGGCCTCTAAAGGCTCTTAAATGTTCCTTTTTGAATTCTGTGAAAAGAGTATTTTAGAGAGTCTTTATAAAAACAAACGTTTAACACTGTGAGCTGAATCTCCACATCACAAAGTATTTTTCACAGATAGCTTCTTTTTAGTTTTCATTGTGGTGTATTTGGTTTTTCATAATACGTCTCAATGGGATCTGAAATGTTGCTCCTAGAGTCTACAAAGAGTGTCTCCAACCAGCTGAATAGAAGGAAATGATCGACTTTGTGTGCTTAATGCAAACATCACAAAGCATTTTCACAGGTACCTTCTCTCTTGTTTATAACATGGAATATTTTTTTTTCACCATAGGCCTCTATATCCGTTCTTAGATTCCACAAGAAGAGTGTTT